GGATGTTATTTCAAACTTTCGTCGAAATACTAACCCGTCTTTGTTCGATTGAGGTCAAATTCTTCTTTTTGGCGAAGGCCCTTGGCCTTAAGGGTGTTATTTCAAAATTTCATCAAAATATTAACCCATCATTGTTCGATCGAGGTCAAACTCTTCTTTTTGGCTAAGGATCTTGGCCTTAGGGGTGTTATTTCGAACTTACATCGAAATATTAGCGCGTCATTGTTCGATCGAGGTCGAACTCTTCTTTTTGGCGAAGGCCTTTGGCCTTAAGGGTGTTATTTTGAACTTTCTTCGAAATATCAACCCGTCGTTATTGATCGAGGTCGAACTCTTCTTTTTGGCGAAGGCCTTTGGCCTTAAGGGTATTATTTCCAATTTTTGTCGAAATATTAACTCGTCTTTGTTCGATCGAGGCCGAACTCTTCTTTTTGGCGAAGTCCTTTGGCCTTAAGGGTGTTATTTCAAAATTTTGTCGAAATATTAACCCATCGTTGTTCGACCTTGTTCGATCGAGGTCGAACTCTTCTTTTTGGTGAAGGCTCTTGGCCTTAGAGGTGTTATTTTGAATTTCGTCGAAATATTAACCCTTCGTTGTTCGATCGAGGTCGAACTCTTCTTTTTGGCGAAGGCTCTTAGCCTTAAGGGTGTTATTTCAAACTTTCGTCGACATATTAACCCGTCGTCAACCCCAATTTTTTTTGGAGAACCGGGTATCCTCTGGGGGAGTCCCAGTTCTGCTCGACTTCTGCGTTTCCTGGGTGAGTCCTAGTTTGCTTGATTTTGTTTGAATCAGAGAGGGTAATGTCGGAGAGTATGAAACATCATTGTTTTGCTCGCGTTCGTTTCGTGCATACATTGGAGTTTCCTTGCCTAATCTTTTCGCTTTCCAGTCTGGAGATGTCATTGGTAGGTGGGACGATGAATTATACTTTGAACTTGGGGATGTCTCCCTCATCGTCTCGGTCCCTAAGTTCCCGTGAAAAACCTATTGGAGAAACCCCTTGGTGAGGGAGAGAGAGCACGACTTAAGGGGCGTCATTTTTTAGAAGTTGGATTGCCAGGTGGACGATATTTCGGTTGTTTTGTAGTAGTTTCCCATTCTCCAATTGAGATGTTTCTTTGCTCACTCGCCCGCGCGGCGCTTGTGTTCCTGCTTGAGCAAAGAGCAGAAGGTGAATCAAAATGATATTTTCCTTACCCCCATCCGATGAGTTGGTGAATGAGGGTGGGTTTGTAACGTTGCTCATTTTGCCTGGCATTTCAACGGTTGATGGGGCAATTGTTTCTAAATTCGGTGACCGTATTCAGCTCTCTCTCCCCTTCTATGTTGTACTTTTGCCCTGCATGAGTTGGGCTTTGCCTTAGCGCTCTTTTCGGTGGGTAATCATGTTTCCGGTTTTTGATCTGGAAGAGACTAGGAAATTTCACTAAGAAATCCCCACAGACGGCGCCAAATTGTTTGACCAAAAAAGATATCGAAACCTTTTCGATTAAATCAATAGAAACAATGAAGGGGTAAATCTCAGTTAAACGTAATAGACTCCAGATCTATAAACTAAACGGAAAATAATGCATAAGATGAGATAGAGGTAATCAATCTTATTGATATTTTTTATTTTGTCTCCTACTAATCAGTGAAGGAGACCATTTTACATATTCTCTTGGAGATTACTCTGTTCTTCCTTCTACTGGGAAGCTTACAGAGGAGAGAAATGAGAGAGAGAGATAGAGAGAAGCCGACCTCCTTTTCAGGAGGTTTTCCCTCATATATATGGTTATGGAGTTTTTTGCTATGTACTTGGTTTTATGTTCTTTCATACTACGTCCGCCTTTGTTGTCCCATTGACGTTGTTTCTTCTGACTTGACGGGTATTGTAAGTACTGATTTTGGAATAATTCATGTCGTCTTTCGCTGCCTCACCGCTTGGACGGGATGTCGGTCAGATCAACCCTTACGGTAAGATTTTAACCAATACAAGCACCGTTGGGCGCAACCCGCAACAAGGGCACCAATGCATCCGGCATAAATTTCCTAGCAAAGAGATAACAACAAATTGTAGTAATATTCCCATTATACAAACATTCTGTCCCAAATCGAATTTGATTAAAAAACTCATCCTTAATATCATGTCATCCAAATTTCCTAGGATGAGGTCCACCTCTTGACCAATCAACCCAAGTAACCGTCCTGTTAGAATTCATTTGAGAATATAAAATATTCGCTAAAGTTGTCATTGTAACATGGAGCTTGACAATGTTATTGAAAAATAGGGTAAAACTTGTAGTCCAAAGCAATTTTCACAACAAGTGATCGATCAATTTCGAACCATTGAGATCCTTTACGCCACTGTTGGATCCTTTATTCGGCCACATTAGGCGGCTGTATCGGCCCTGCCACGTCCCGGTTTTCGAGGATCTTCGTACGAGCCTAAGAAGCTTAAGTTTGAGCCAAGGAGGTAAGTGTATATGGTGGTGAAATTGAATAGTAGAATGCATGAATCTGAGAGTAATATAAATCTTTGATTCGAGGAATCTAGTTTCTGAATAAAGAAAGGTACAACCTCAACTTTTCCTCCTATACAATAAGTACTTAATTACTTTGCCAACCAACTTGTCTAAATATAGCATGTTACCAATTTCACATGTTGCCCAATTCTACACCTATAGAAAAGGAGTGAAAGATATTGGCAATGTTGGAGAGATTGGACGTTGCGCTTAATTTAACCTAAAAAATTAGTGCATAAGGTAAATCAAGCTACGTAATTGTTAAAAAAATTTAACTTAGATAAACTAAGACAACAAAAAAATTATATTATTAGTGTATTTTAATTTATTATAGCATATAGCCTGCTTTATTTCCAGGTTACCAAGTTCATATTTAAAGGACAGTCACTTATAGGTAGTTATCTTTTAGATAACATGATAGTTAATTTTTTTTACACTAACAATGTATAAAAGTTAAACTCTTGTTCAAAGTCATAAAAAGACACATCAGTCAATCCCTCAACTAGTGGGATAAATTAACACCCCCTATGCCACCCAGGCTAGGAAATGATCTGGAGCATAAACAATACAAGATGTGGATCCAACGTTGGGCACATTAAAAATAGAAACATGTCGGACTCTAATACTATGTTAAGAAAATGACTATTGAGTCTACTTATGAAGTGAGGATTATCCAATGCCATATAAGTATAGAAAACAACTCATTCCCTTAATAAATATGGGACACAATAACATAAAGATAGCAGGTGTTACAATAGGGATGTCTTTGGTAGTTTGTGGAGAAAGATAGGGGCATTCTGTTGGATTTGAGGAACCAAAATGAATAGCAGAGGAAAGGGACATGAAGAGATAGCACAGGAAGGGGACTTGAAGAGATGCATATATAGGAATGATAGTCACGTATATGTTACTCTCTTGATGTCTTATCTATGTTGCTTCTTTGGCTTTTTCAGTTCTCATTTTGCTATGCCATGGAATCTGGATCAACCCACTAAATATTTGAGGTTCAAGTTGCCCTAATTGTCCCAAAGTAAAATGGTCTACTATACTTGCAACTGCTTAGATATCAACAAATACAAGGTTACAAAATTTGAAGGAGATGGCATCCCATAAGTTAATACCAGTGCTAAAAGCTCTGCAAGTGCATAGATATATTTATATATACATTGGAAAATGAGTTTCTCTTTGACAAAGACATCATCACATATTAATTCATTGATGCTAGATCTTCTCTAAGTAGATAATTTGTGGATAACATGATTACAAGTCTTAATACCTGTTTGTTAGGTGTGCGAATAAAGTCTCACATTGGTAGCTAAAAAGATTGGGAGCCTACATATTGTTTAACCAAAAATTTGAGTCTTTGGTCAAAGCTAAAAAGAAATTCGGGTTACTGATAATCAGGAGACGAAAATAAAATACTTTTGAGAATGATGGTAAAGCAGCAAATAGTTTTGTATTTCAATAAGTTCCCAATAGTATTCTGTGTCCTTACAAATGATGATACTTCTTCCTTTTATAGGTAATTCTAGGTAAAGGAATGAAGCCTCAGCTTTAATGATATAATTATGAGTAATAAATGATATTAAATAAGCCGTTATACAATCATTCCTATTAAATACCAATTTTCTAACGTATCAGGTATTTAATAATGAATTTGGACTCCTTTCTGTCATCAGATCTTTGTCTTTAATGCCTTCTAATCCGTTGGCTTTAAATGACTTGAATTGGTACGAGACTCGTATCTGCACTTCGTCTCGTGCCTATTTAAATTCCTCTTCCCGTGGC